GGGGGGGGGGGGAGGAAGCAAAATGGGACAGAAGTTGAGAAATGGGTATCACAGTTCTGAAAGCGCATCTGTTATGAAAGAGTAAAATCCCATCACTTCAAAGATGTCTCGCGATCAGATCCGCGCTGCCAAAGATCGCCACGCCAGCGTCGGCGGGATGAGGTTGCTCAGCAAGTTCTCGTGACAACAACATCTCTCGCTTAACTCGACGGCCGACACGGGCACCTCCTGCCAACCGGCATGTCCTTCTCCGCTTTGAGCCCACCTGCACGCAAGTAAAATAACCCGATGTGCTGCAGACACGCTGGAGGTCTGGGCTGGCATCGCAGCGTCGCTGTCTACAAGCTGCTGTTAAACTGGACAAAGGTTTACCAAGGCATTGTCTAAAGCAGAGGCGAGTACGGCTGCTCACAGCACCGCTGTGGCTGGCACGGGTTGCACACCGAAACGTAGAGAGGTTGGGGTTGTGCTGGTTTGGGGTTTTTAATACTCTGATAAAAATAAACATTGCCAAAAAAAAAAAAAAAAAGCAAAACCAAACCTTTCTACAAACAGATACGGCCAATAAATTCTAATCTAGTTCTGCACAAAGCGTTAACTTTGTGAAATCAAAGGGAAAGCACATCGCAATCTAACGGGGACACGGTAAGGTAAAGCTGCATTAACATTTCTCTTCCACTCATCCTCCCTTCGTTAGCACCAGTGTAGCAAAGGGCTCGTCACCCGGTGTACTGCTGGGGGGGGAACCAGTCTGTCGGGAAGCGGAAGGGCTCCGCAGCGGGGGTTAACGACCAGCAGACTGGGCAAATCTTCCCCTTGGGAGAAGCCACCGCGGGAAAGAGAGGCGACGGACTTGGGGCGTCGGACACAGGCGAGAGCTGCCCGCTGAAACCAAAAGGAATCGTCGGAGAGCGTCACGGAAGGAGCTGCAAGTTTACACGTAACTTTTGAGCAATGCTTTATACATGTCAAGCCATGGAACTTTAAAAGGCCTCAAAGACACTTTTGTAACGAACAAGTGCACAATCTAGGTGGATGCTGAAGCTGGCACGTCTAGTCTTCACCGCGGTGCTACGCTGTTTTTATTGCCACTAGATGGGGGGAGGCACCCGGCCTTCCCCCGTTCGTGCGTGCAAACGATGATTTCCTATGGGAAAGGCGTTAACAGAAACGGCTGGAGGGGGTTACTTTGTGAAAAGCAGAAACTGAAGTTAGCTTTAGTTTAAGGGAAAAAAAAAAAAAAAGGAAAAAAAAAAAAAGTGCGAGTGTGCGTGCGTGTGCGCGTTCCAAGAATAACAATGGCGTCTACCAGACAAAGTAGGGCGAAACGTTGAAAATAAAACACCGCGACTTGGGGGGCTGCCACACCTTTTGGTGTTAACATTGCTGGAAAACTGCATTCCAGGCTGTAAAGGAGAATGGGTTCTTCGTCATTAGGCTTGGCAAGATGACGGGGTTCCTAAAAACTAATGCAAGCAGCTCACGTGAGCACCTCTCTGCCCCAGAGTTTAGGAACGGTCGCTTCGGCTCTCTGCTGCTGCCCGCGGGGCCAGCGAGGGAAGGCCAGGGAAATCCACGGCGGAGCTAGGGAGGAAACATTCGCGTTCACACGTGAAGCATGAATGAACAATCCCCCTGAAAAAGGGAAAAAAAAAAAAGAAAGAAAAGAGCGTGCTTTCTTACACAGCAAGGGGGGGTCGCAGCTAGCGGTGCCGGCCTCCTGCTTCTGGACCTCGGCCAGGCGCCACCGCCCGGGCCCCGCTCACCGGCCGCTGGACAGAGAGCCAGTGGCCAGATCGCACCTTCACCTGGCCGTGCAAAATGCTGGCTCCACCATCTCCCTGCGCCTCGGGGTCTGCAACACGGGAATTGTTCCAAGCTCTTAAGTGGATTTTTAGCTGGGCGAGAGATCGTACCAATTAGTGACATTTACTGATGAGATTCGGTGGCTAAAGTGAAAGGATTAAACAGGACCAAATTAAGCAGCAGTGAGTAATTTAGCCCACGGATTTTTAGGGGCTCTGAGCAACTGTCTGTTTTCTTTTTAATTTCCCTGGTAAGTGGTTTTGGGTTGGTTTTTTTTTTTTTTTTTCTTCTGTGTACCTTCTTTTAATTAAAAAGAATTCACCAACAGCGGCACTATGAGGCCTCTGGGCACGACAGGAAGAACCATTAATTCCTCCAAGACCGGATCTGCAGTTTTGCAGCAAAGGTTAAAAGGTGGCAGCCCTGAAATGAGGAGAAAATAAAAACGGTCAGCCTGAATTGCAAACAGGCTCGAGTAGAGGAAAAGCTTTCTGGAAACGGATCGAGTTCGGCTTTGTGTTCTGCTTTTCTGTTCTGCAATCAAGGCACACGTGAGCAGCCAGTCTGGTAGTAAAGACAGATTAAGTAAAACAGGTTTTACTGTTTAGCTCAATTCAATTAAACACAAATGTACATAAAAATGTTAATCATATGAGATTAACATATTTAAGTATAACACGGAGGGGTATATACAGAGCTATTATAGACAAGCACTTGACTACCAACTTCACCCCTCCTTTACTTTTTTATTTTTCGAGGCTCCATCTGACATAAAAGCCACAATTGCGTTCTTAGTCCACTTGCCCGACGCTCCCTCCCTTCAGCCAGGAGCCGGGGCCTGCGCACCGGGCCGCGCCGGCAGGCAGGGTTTATTTTTAAATGATATTATATGCAGTCGAGTGTTGAAAATGTTGAATCAGTCCAATTTGTTTTCACTCTGTCTTAGTTTTAGTTTCAGGCATAGCCGATCCCCATTCAGGTGCTATCAGATGACCAGTTACTGCTTAGTTAACTAGATGTAAAGTTTTACATATATATTAATGTCAATAGTTTTATTACAAGTTGTGTAAAATGGACTCTCTAGTTTAAAAAAAGGAAAAAAAAAAAAAAGAAAAAAAAGAAGAAAAAAAAATTAGGTCTCTCCTGAAATTGACTTTAGAGCATGGAAAATGATTTTACTGGATTCTGTTCAGCTGTAATCAAGGAAAAAAATATGTATGTTGTAGAAAAAGTCGCAGAATTAAAAAAGATCTGCTTTTAATTTATTCTTTTTGTATTAAGAATTTGTATAGTTACCTTTACATTTTGCAAAACGGTGTTGTCAACACTTCCTTATTAAAGCATTTTCAAAATGAAACCTTGCAGTGGTCTTCTCAGGAGGGCGCAGCTCCGGGGAATCCTTACCCCGGCCACCGCGCCGCCACCCCTGCGAGCCGCTCGGCCCAGATGTGCGCACAGCTGGCCAGGGGCTCCGGGAGGGACCCGCTCCTCCGCTGTCAGGGGGCCCAACTGCAGGGAACGCTGGGCCTTCCCCCGCAATTCCATCCTTCCCTCTGAGATCCCTCGGGACTCGGCGCTCTCGCTCAGCAGATCCCTGCTCGCTCCCTCCCGGGTGCCGGGCTGGGGGGGGCTCAGAGGTGCCTCGGGCAGTAAGGAACCACGTCACCAACGTCCCAGCACAGTAGGAAACTACGTCACGAAAATAATATTTACTTCTAATGTACATACCTCGAAATAATTAAAATTAAGGCCCGCTGGTACGAACCGGATGCGAAGGAGCTGCGCGGCTGTTGGCCAAGGTCCGCAGGACAGGCCGGAGCACCCGCACCCGCACCCCTGCGCTCCCAGGGACCGCCGGCTCCTTGGGTTAAATTCCCAAGGAAACCCCCGCTTGCATCGCTGCTGTGGAGGCAGCAGCATCGAGCACCCCCTGGACCGATCCTGCTCCGGGCCAGATGGGGACTTTGCCAGCCGCGCCCCGCCCAGCCACTTCCCCCTCTCTCCGTTTATCCCACTGTCCGGGGAGCTCCCTTCCGCCCGAGCGTCCTTGTGCCACCCACCCCGCCCGTCCCCTCGCCTCAGGGAGCCACCAGCAGCACCAGCCCTGAGCCTGGAGGCCACCCCGGCATCGCTGCACCGGGGCGATCCTGCGCAGTAAATCCCCAGTGGGGTTTGGGATGGGACAGAACAGCAAGGATGGAATTTTTCAGACATCCCCCTAACCCTGGGGCTTGGGCTCCGATTCCATGCCAGCAGCAGGCAGCTCCTCAAGCCCTGCAACGCACGCAGAGCGGCTTTCCCAACAGCCTGCTCCAGATCCCATACTGGTGCTGAGCCCCCCACGCCAGCCCTCTGGGAAGGCACCACCTCGGTACTCGTCCCCTGAGCTGGGACGCTCTCCTCCCCCTGGGACGTGAAGCCGTTTACACCTCAGCTAGGTTAATCCGGGTCTATCACGGAGGTCACAGGGCAGGCAGGCGGAGAGGAACCCCCTTCCTCAATCAGGACAAACGGATCCCCCACGCCCCTACCCCAACAGCCTTTCCAGCAACGCAGACAAATGGCAAACAAGGAATTAAAGGTGTTTAACTCCCACCAGGCACGACCATACCGACACAAGGCCCGTATTGTGGATTTTGGGAGTTCGGGGCAACACACCCCCTCGCACAGCCCCTTCCCCTGCCGGGCTAGGGAAGGGGTGGGGGGCTGCGACAACCAACCTGGGGCACTGAAGTCCCCAAACCACTCCAGACACGACTATGGAGAACGCATGACTTCATCCCAAGGCCATCCATTTCACTGGATTCAGCGGAGTTATTTCCGCCTGGTGCAAGAATTATCAGAAATAAACATCTGGAGAAGCCCAGAGGGAAAAGTCAAAAGTGCTAAACTGAAACCTCCCTCCCCACAAAAACTGTCAAGCAGTGTGACAGCCGCGCCACACCCACTCGTCCCTAAACTAGACTGGGGTGGGTTTGGGATTTTTTTTTGGCTAAAAGGCATCATTAACTATTTGATCACGGTCTGGTAGCTGTAATTTGGGGCCATCCAGCTGCAAAGAGCCCCCAGCCGATGATGAAAAGCAGCTGCCGTAACAGTGTCGTCCCCCCCCTTGCAGTCC